GCTTGTAGAATTCTATCATGGAAAATAAAAATTTTAAAAAATGGGGCAGTTTTAGGAAACAGGTCTAGATAATTTGACTTTTACTTTACTAAATAACCATTTTTAACATGATAAAAATTGAACTGGATATAGCAAGGAGGCAAACAGTAGAAGGAAAGCTTATATTCAGATAGTCTCTGTCTCCAGAGCTAAGCTCTCTCAGCCATTTTGCTTTGTGGTGAATATAAGGTATAGGACCTTAACCAAGAGTATAAAATAAATAGAAATATAAATCAGCACTTCAGAAGAGGGCAGGAAAAAATATTTAGGTTTTATTTTATAATCTTGAACATACAGGTGGGTGATTATGCAAGACAAACAAATACAGCAAGTAGGAAGAGTGCTGCTCCTAATCTAGAAAGTGTATTCTTTTCTCCTTGGAGCACTTCTTATATTCTAGTAACATGAAATACTGTATTCTGTTCAGAAAGTACATAGAGCTTTCATCCTCTCCCCAAAGGAGCTGGATCATGGGCAAAGACTGGTCCACAATGATAAGCTTTGGGGTTCCTGTTCAGTAAAATGAGCTGTATGCAGCCAGACATTATCAAACTAATAGATCTAACTCAAACAGTTACAGAATATGTAACATTCCTGAATATACTTATAGAAATGAAGCCCATTAATTCAATTATAACTAAGTTTGATAGAAATGAAGTAGAGTCTTCTACATGGAGCTTTGTCTCCCACCATGTTAGAATGAATGCATAGCTGAGAGCAGACAGCTGCTCTGCTAAAGCTGCACAACAGGTGGGGACAGGTCACAATCCCTTTCCAAAGTGACTACAGGAAAAAAGGGGGAAGAGGAAAAGGAAGAAAAATAAAAAAAGAATCAAATAACAAAATTACACAGGAACAGAGACATGGGAAAGAGGAAATTTTAAATGTTTTCCAAGTCAATTCATCATTATTTCTTCAAGTTGAAAGAAAAATCACTAAGGAATACATAACTCAACCAAGGACAAATATATCCACATGTCCTGGAACAATTTAACTGAAATCAAGGGAATTTAGGAATAACAATAAAAAAAATTCCAGTACTAAAATGTTCAGTCCACACCCCAATGCCCCTCCTGCCCTTTCCCACCTCTTAGTGTTTCTTAGAATACAGAGGCAGAGAATTCTTGCTATTCCGTACCAAACTGTCAGACTAACAACTGGCTTTTCTTCTTATAGCAGAGGATGGTAAATACAAAAGACTACTGCTAACCAACTGCCTAATTAGATTGCTGATGTTTATAAGGCAGAGGAGTGAAAATCAGATTTTTGTTCCAATCGACCTGAGAAGGAAGCCACCAGGTTTCCTTAGCAGTGACGTGTGGTTACTATATGATGTGCAGAAAAGGGACTATTTAACACTCTAATAGTCCAAGCTGCTTCCTTTCTGAATGACTTCTTCCATCACTAACATCTCCATCCGCCAAAGTTGGGTTCAAAACTGGACTTTTTGATAGACTCCTCTATTTGCCCGTCTCCAACCCCATATTACCATTATTACCATCTCTGTCATATATATGGCATAGTATTTGTTATACAGCTTAAGAATATTTTGTGTATTTTCATCTTTTGCCTGCATAGATGGTGTTTCCTGGAAGTACTAACCACATATTGCTGGTTTTAAATTTTTATTGAAAGAATTTTTAGACATTCACAATATAGAAAATAATGTAACAAACCCTCACATACTCATCAACCATCTTAAACAACTATCAACATTTTTGTCTTATTTCCCATTTATACATATTATAAAATATATTTATATGAACACATACATAAATAAGCCAGGCAGGGAAGGAGGAGTGGGAAAAGGTTGAGTAATGGGTACAACGTCATAGCTAAATAGGGGAAGGATTCTGGGGTTCTAACATATAGAGGGGAAAAGATAATATATATCTCTAGTGAAGACAGAGTGGATGCTTTAAGTATAATGCAATGTTAAAGGTGTGAAAGTATAAGGATATTTACTTTGGACATTTTACAGTGCATTCATGTAACAAGAGTGTTTATTGGTACTTTGTGATGTTCAGAGCCTGCATCAAAACAAACCCTGCCAAACTACACCTGGGACTATCAACTTTATGAACAATGAGAAATAAATCTTGGCCAGTTAAGCCAATTATTTTCTAGTATTTTGTGACAACTGCGCTAATGGCTTTCCTAACTTTTTTTTCAGTATCTAAATTTGAAGTTCTCCTATATGATTAGTAGAATATGTATACTCAACTCAAGATATCAGAGATTAAGACCATGTGTAGAAGATATATCTGACACCTAACCAAGAAAACAAGAGAAAAATCATTAGTCAAGGCAGTTCCTAGACAGAAGGAATGAAATGAAATGGATGATTTGTACGTTTGCATTTACTTTTAGCATTGAAATTTCATATTCTTTTCAAACAACTAAACTCTTCTCAGGTGAACTGCATCTGGATATTTTCAGCTGTGGTCAGCTTCTCTATGAATCCTACCAGATTCTGGGGATGCAAGGTGAACAAGGCTATAATCAAATGCAATGTGTTTAATACCTCAATGCATTGCAAATTCATCTAGATTAGGGGTCAGCACAAATTACTTCTGTAGTGGAACTGCTCCCTTCTGAAAGGAAGGAATGGAAGCTGCAGATGGAAAAGCATACATTGAACACTGGATTCAGATGCAGAGCTGCTTGTTGGAGCGCAGAGGGGCCAGGCTTCCTTAGGTGAGATTCTTCAGTTATTTATTTAGTTGGACCCAATGCTATTTAGAAACAGACAGCCTGTGGCATTAAATTTAAAATATGATGGGCAAGTTTTCAAGAAATAAAAGCTATAAGTGAAACAGCTTCAGGTCCATTCAGTATGCTGTGGGAAATGGCTAATGGACATTCATTATTATGACTGGCAATGGGAGCTGCCAATAAATGATAGAGCAGAGATTCAAACCACCACGTAACAGCAACACTTCCTAAGCTTACCTCACCTTTCAACGCAAAACATTATCTGAAGAGACAAAACAACAACAAAAACAAAAAACCAGGGTTGGAGAACACAGGGGAAGATTAAGGAAACACTAAATTAAACATAAAAGCTATGTTTCTTCCTATATTCCTTCCTTATCTTTTTCCAATAAAAAAACAACTGGAGCCCAGAAAATGGAGGGAATAAAGGGGAGCAGAATTGTAATCTGTCATCCGTTAGAAAGCCTACCTAACATGGGGGCTATGTTACCCTCTCACTTGTCATTTTATTTTATTTTACTTATTTAAAGTTTCCTCCCCTCCCCCCATTAGAAAGGCAGACAAACAGAAAATGAGATCGAGAAAGATTTTTCTTCTGTTGGTTCTCTCCCCATGCTAGAGCTGAGCTGACATGAAGCCAGGAGCCAGGAGCCAGGAGCCAGGAGCCAGGAGCCTCTTCTGGATCTCCTATGTGGGCGCAGGGTTCCAAGTCTTTGGGCCTTCCTTGACTGCTTTCCCAGGCCACAAGCAGGGAGCTGAATGGGAAGTGAGCAGCTGGACATGAACTGGTGCCCATATAGCATCTAGACACATGCAAGGTGAGGATTTAGTCACTTTAGGCTGTTGTGCTGGGCCCTTCCTTTTATTTTATTTTTAGAAATTAATTTATTGGGCCCGGCGTATTAGTGTAAAAGTCCTCACCTTGAACGTGCCAGGATCCCATATGGGAACCAGTTCTAATCCCAGCAGCCCTGCTTGCCTTCCAGCTTCAAGCCTGTGGCCTGGGAAAGCTTTGGGACCCTGCACCTGTGTGGGAGACCTAGAAGAAGCTCCTGGCTCCTGGCTCTGGATTATCTTAGCTTCAGCCATTGCGGCTGCTTGGAGAGTGAACCACTGGATGGAAGACCTTTCTCTGTCTCTCCTCCTCTCTGTAGAGCTGTTCTTCCAATAAAAATAAATAGATCTTTAAAAAAAGATTTGGGAAAAAAACCTATTTTTATTTGAAAGAATAACAAAGAGAGAAGGAAATCCACTGGTTTATCCTCTAAATAGTTGTAATGACCAAAGCTGAACTGATCCAAAGCTGGTAACAATGAGCTTCTTCTGAATCTTTCATGAATGCAGGGGACCAAGGACTTGAACAATCCTTTGCTGCTTTTACATGCCATAGGCAGGGAGCTGGACTGGAAGTGGAATATGTGGGACTAGATCCAGTGCCCATATGGAATTAGCTTTCTAAGCTGCAATGTTATTTCATTTTCCTACAAAAAGAACTTTGTTTTGCTTGTAATCCTTTCATTTTCACTGTTAACACCCAATTATTTCTTATAATCGTAAACACACTAAGTATAAACACTTGTGATCTTATATTTTACGAAGCAAAATTAAAACCATTCTATCATAAATAAATAATCTGTTTTATTTTTTAAACTCCAAATCAATCCAAAATTCTATGTACAATTCTGTAAATTGTTTTAGATAGGCTTTATAGTGATAGTCAAGAGCACAGACTAGTTAAGTTCAAACACTATTGTAACCACTTACAAGCAGTGTAGATTCAGATAAATTAATCTCCCTATACCCCTGCTTTTCTCAATGGAAAATATACAACAATTATAGTATCACAGGACATGATGTTTTCACTGGCAAAGAGAAAACACTATATGAGCATTACTGTTACTGCGATCACCCGAGAAAATACTTAGAGGGCATTATCTTAATCTCATTATTTGTTATTTCTATTAAATGGTTACACATATATGATCTATCTCTTGATTTGGATCACATAAAATAATCTTCTCAATATCAAATAAAGAGAAGGAATAAGAATGAAACATTTTTCTCTTTAACTGATACTGGAATTTTAACAATATCACCAAGTATATATTTGCCTTTTAGAAGTAACGTGTTATACTTAAACCTACATACATAAATGGAGAACCAAATGAAAGACATCTGCTATTATAGCAGCCAATTCCCGAACACTGATATAATACGATACATTGCTTTATGCACAAAATACCTACTTCTGGGGGGATCTGTTATCAACTTCAGCCTTCAGTCGTAAATTCTCCCTCACTAGGCCACCATTTTCCAATTTCAATTTTTTATTTGCCTTGAAAGAAATAAAATAAAAAGTTTTAATAAGCACAAAACCCCACAAAAGTACCTTGTAAAAAATACAAACTAAGCCCTCTGTTTTTTAAATGAATGAAATCAGAAAGCATGGCCAACAGAAACTTAAAATAGGAAATGCATGTGAGATTACAGGCATGACTAACCATTTAATGCCACCCCTGAGAGCTCACAGAGCTCAGGGAGGTGAACACAATGTGTGAGTTAGCTGACATGAATTAGAGACTGCACCAACTGCATGTGTATTGTCACAGGACTAAACATTCTCAGCATTACACTGCATAAAAGTATCTACAAACTAAATTTGGAGAGCAAATCCTCAAGCTATGAGCATGCTTTTAGGTTCTTTTAAAAGCAGATTTTTTTCCTAACAATAACAACTCTAATTTGCTTCAACCACTTTTTCTTTCCTGAAAAATGCTTTCTAAATGCCTCTACTCTCAAATTCTCGTACCCTCTATTTTGGGTTATTATCACCCAGTAAACCCCATTTGCCCTTTGACAAATAATCAATCAGTCAATAAATAGGCGGCACTTAGTGAAGCACTTTGAAGATGACAACAAATTTAAATTAGGAACTTGTTTGACTGCCTTTCCCAATTTTCTCTTTTTACTTCATATTGTATTCACATCATAATGTTTCAATTCTCTTACCAAGTTAGGTAATAATACAAATTACTGGATGTCTAGTTGCTTTACTATCAGAATTTTCAAGCTCATGAATCCCAGATGAATAAATGGGGTCAGGACATCAGCACCTGATGGTATAAAACTCATCTAGTCCAGGAAACGTCAGGAAAAAAAAGCTATTTCATTCATGTTGTACAAATAGTTGTTTATTCTGAATCTTTTGTACTTCTGTAGCTGATTTACAGTATATTATTTTGTTCTAAAAATTCAAGTTTGGTCTCTGTATAGCCCACCTTTTTAAATTCACCTATGTTCTGGTTTATAGCCTATTATGTAATATCAACAACAGGCATACAAAACAGGCTTTTAACATATTCCAAATGATTTGAGGTCTCAGGGTAGCTTTGAGACTATTAACACAGCAAAACCTAAACTGTGCTTTTTGCCTATTTCCCTTATATACCATCCCCACACCACCTTTATGAGCCCAGAGTAGTTTTCAGAAAGATCCTCATGCTACAAGAAGCATTTATTGTAAAAATTTAAACAACATTTATTAACTGTAAAGAAATTACACAGAACTTCACTGTGATGGCTTCAAAAGAGGCAGGGAAATTAAAGGAGACTTAGTCGTGACAAATATTTATAGATTCCAAAGCTGTTAATCATTCACTATTCTCACATTTTCCAATGACCAAAACGCTAACATTTGCCATAGACAGCCAAGGAAACTATACCCTTCCCCTACACTGGTAACGGACTTAATGCAACAGGTCTGTAGCTCCTTTTATCTCCGAAAGCACTAAATTCTGGCTTTTTCTGAGGACCCAAACCATTTATTGTATATGTGTAAGCTGCCTCATGGCTAGATGCAAACACTTTCCTGTTAATTAGGCTCACTGCAGATCTAAGACTCTACAAAGACTCCTCCTCACAACAAGCTATGGATTTCTCTGATGACTTCAGGAGGTGGATTTAGACAATCAGCACCAGAGCATTATTTTAAGGGAAGGCAGGCAAGCGATGGCTCCAAGTACTACCAAATCATTGAGAATCTAAGGACTTTACTGACGGGTAAACTTGAGGTTAGGACTGACACAACATCACATTCTTCTCAAGGAAGTCTAAGGCAACTGCTTGCAGCTCCTTGTCATTAATGACAGCGCTAGAAGATGTGCTCAAAACATTCCCTTCTATTGCAATGGCAATGGGTATATTTTTGTCTTCTATTAAAAAATAAGGTAGTCACTGACCTAAACTTGGGAAAAAAATAAGAAACACCCCTAAGATGGGGGAGATCTCTTAAACTGATGTCAGTCTTCTGGAAAAGAATGCAACTGCACACAATGTCTTCAATTAGAGTCACAAATGGAATCATAGTTTTTGGCAAGTAGTTATCTTTAACATTTTTATTTATTTTTTTAAAGTCAGAGATACAGTGCTTGGCGCCATGGCCTAGTGGCTAAGGTCCTCGCCTTACAAACTCCAGAATCCCATGTGGGCGCCGGTTCTAATCCTGGCAGCCCTGTTTCCCATTCATCTTTCTGCTTGTGGCCTGGGAAAGCAGTCGAGGATGGCCCAAAGCCTTAGGACCCTGCACCTGCATGGGAGACCCGGGAGAGGCTCTGGGATCTTAGCTATGGATCAAGTGCAGCTCCAGCCATTGGGGCCACTTGGGGAGTGAATCATCAGATGGAAGATCTTCCTCTCTGCCTCTCCTCCTCTTTGTATATCTGGCTTTCCAATAAAAAGAAAAAAAAAAATAGAAAGAGAGAGAGAGAGAGAGCGCGAGAGCTCTTCCATCTGCTGGTTCACTCCCCAGAGCTTCATTTTGGTCTCCCATGTGGATGGAAGATTAGAACATTTGGTTCATCTTCTGCTGCCTTCCCCAGGCCATTAGCAGGGAGCTGGTATCAGATGCTGGTGATTCAGACAGTGGCTTTACCCGCTACACCATAATGATGGATGCCCTAGTAAAACTTAATGATAAAAAGCATTTCTATTGAAAATAACTGTTTGTTGAGCCATCTTGTCCTTACCTTTCTCACAAACCAAATGATGAATCAAGACAATATGGGTATTTATACTTAAAAGCCTTTTTAAAATTTTAACTTGAGTGCCACAGTGAGTGGGAAGGAGACACAGAGTGCTAGCCTCTGGTGGTTTGCTCCCTAGATGCTCACAAAAGCCCAAGTGCTTGAGCTGTCACGGCTGCCTTCCGGGGCTGCACTGGCAGGAAGCCAGAGTCAGGAAAGGAGCTGCAGCTTGAGGCCACAGACCAAGTATCAGTATCTTGGCCATGACAGCAACTGATTGCCCTATTTACTTACGAGGTGTTTAAAATTCAGAATTTTTACAATAGATTTCTTAAAGGTACAACTTACCTCCTTCAACTTGTCCACATCATCTTTCACTTTTTCATATATTTCATTAGCTGTTCTGAGTTTTTTCTTCCACTCTGCTACAGTTTCGGGGTCAATTTTATTTGGATTATCTGCAACTGGATGTTTATCCTCATTTTGGTTGCCCTGAATCAATGTTAAAGGGTCCAGAATAGTCTTTATCTGTGACTCCAAGCTGAGATTTTTACTCTTAAGCTCCTCCACCTCCTTCTGCAAACAGTCTATTTCATCCTGGAAAAGCAGCACACAGTCAGTGGGTAGACAGGTATTGCACACATACATACATATGCTAACTGAGGCCAACATGTTTTTGAATGTTATACTCAGAATTCTGTGGATGTGAAGTTCACACCAGAATAATGTTCGAATGAAAAAGTCACATTCAGTTTAAATTTCCAAAGTGTATTCTGACTCTTAAAAATTGTTATTTATGTTGTTTTCATTTCATAGTTTTAACCTAAGAAAACTGTCAAATCCTTGATTATCTTTATTATAATCAGAAAACAAGATGACACATGATTTCCAACAGGGAAGTAGATTCTGTTTTGGAAGGTAATTTTGAGGCATGTGTGCCTCCTTTACTCAGAGGAATTAAAAGTGCAGTATCAAGCAAACTGTGATCTATCAGGGTCTGGCATCTGTACGTGAAAAGGGGTGAAATCATATCTTAGTTCCCTCCACTTTCTATTTAAGAATAGATCTATAAAAAAAATTTCTGGGGCCTGGTGCTGTAGCCTAGTGGCTAAGGTCTTCATCTTCTATGGACCATGATCCCATATGGGCGCCGGTTCTAATCCTGGCGGCCCCGTTTCCCATCCAGTTTCCTTCTTGTAGCCTGGAAAAGCAGTGGAAGATGGCCCAAAGCCTTGGGACCCTGCACCTGAGTGGGAGACCTGGAAGAAGCTCTGTGTTCCTGACTTCGGCTCAAGTGTAGCTTCAGCTGTTGCAGCCCCTTGGGGAGTTAATCATCAGATGGAAGATCTTCCTCTCTGTCTCCCCTTCTCGCTGTATATCTGACTTTCTAATTAAAAAAAAAGTTTCTGGATTCAGGTTTTTAAAATACTACAACTACTATTCTACATATTAATTTTCACTCTGGAAATGCTTGTCTTTTAATTTTTTAAAATAAAAATCTATTGAGGCCAGCATCCTGATTCAGTAGGCTAAGACTGCTTGCAGCACTAGCATTCTACATGGGCCATGGGCACCACTTCAAGTCCTGGCTGTTTCACTTCTGATTCAGCTCCCGGATGATGGCCTAGGAAAGCAGTGAGGACAGCTCAGGTCCCTGGACCTCAGCACCTATGTGGGAGACCTGGAAGAAGCTCCTGTCTCCCAGCTTCCAATCAGGTCAGCTCCAGCCATTGTGGTCCTTTGAGAAATAAATCAGCAGATGAAAAATCTCTCTTTCCTTCTCTCTGTAACTCTTTCAAACAAAAATTACACACACACACACACACTTAAATATTTACCTATCTGAAAGAAGAGTGAGAGAAAAAGATCTTCCACCTTTTAGTCCACTCCCCAGATGCCCACAACAGCCAGGGCCACCGCAGCCTGAAGTCAGGAGCCTGGAATGCACCCAGGTCTTCCACGGGGCAGCAAGAACCCAAGCGCTCTGTAAATCTGCCTTTCCAGTGAAAATAATAAAATCTTAAAACAAGAAACTATTCCAAAAACATTTTTAAGTCCTACATTTAGTTAATATAAAATAATTGGGCTTAATGTCTGACTTTCAAACATTTATATACAGTAGCTTACCAAGACCATGATTTAGCTTCCTGAAGTTTCAGTTATCCTTGTCAATCACAGAGAAATAACACTACATGAAAAATTCTAGAAATAAACCAAAAGTTTTAAATAACTTTTATCATAAATTATTACTGCTAACCTCTTACTGAGCCTAATTTATAAATTAAAGTATATCACAGATACAGACATGTTGGGGAAAACATAGTGTACATAGGGCTCAGTACAATTTGTGGTTTCAGGCATCCACAGGTGTCCTGGAACATATCCCATGCAGATAAGGGAGAAGTACTATATTCCATTAGTATGGATTTACACAGAAAAAATATACCTCTATATATGAGCAGCCTGCTCATCCACCGTTCTCTATGCCCACAGCTGACATGGATATTTACTTTATCAGAACTGATCAGACTTCTAAAAATCAGCAAACTTAGTGGTAGAAACAAATAATGGTTGTAGGGGTCAGGATGACTTTCCACTATCTCCTAAAAAACACATACAAATGAAAGGAGAGAGGTACAGCCTTTAAATTAAAAAAAGGAAAAAAAAAAGTAAGTGCTTCCATCTTTTTTTTTTTTTAAATCAATGCACTCATTCTTCAATACACATTTTTAAAATATTTATTTTTATTGGAAAGGCAGATGTACCGAGAGAAGGAGAGACAGGGAGAAAGATCCCCTGTCTGCTGATTTATTCTCCAAGTGGCCACAATGGCTGGAGCTGAGCTGATTCAAAGCCAGGAGCCAGGCTCTTCTTCCGGATCTCCCATGCGGGTGCAGGGTCCCAAGCCTTTGGGCCGTCCTCGACTGCTTTCCCGGGCCACAGGCAGGGAGCTGGATGGGAAGTGCAGCAGCTGGGACATGAAGTAGTACCCTTTGAGTTTCCAGAAGATGCAAGGTGAAGACTTTAGCCACTAAATTATTGTGCCAGACCTTAATATGTACATTGTTAAAAATATAAAGAAAAACCCCCTTTATTTATAAAGGAAAACAAAACAGAAAAAAATTTCTAATAAGGTATGTTTTACCTGACTTTTAAATAAAGGTTTCACTGGATGTTTCCTCCCAGGAAATCCAGGGACTAACGTAGCTCAACTTTACCTTGAAATTGGTGCTGACATATTTTAAACTTTGGTTATTATTTACCTCATATTCTTTGTGGAGTAATTCAAGTCTAGTTTTCCGAAGATGCTTCCTGACTGTATGGCTTAGCATAGGTTCGCTTTCACTTGTTCCTCCTACAGGGAAAAAAATTCCTATTTTTCATTCTTGATCTGGATGAAACAGAAGTGAATGTTTTTCTTATTGTTTCATAAGTCTCTCTGCTTACTATCTACCTTTACCCTTCCATACATACTTGAGGCTGCAACTTAGGCCTTTATCTCAATCATGAAAAAAGATAGTATTAACACCTTCAGTAAAATATCATACTGTATTTACTTACCTATATATAGCATTACAACTCAGTGGAAAAAAAGGTTATGTATTATCATTTATCGCATTTGGACAACTGTAAATTCTTAAAATTTGATAACGGTTAAATAATGACAAAGCCAATTATTACAGTTAACCAACTGCTTATTTAGATTATATAGTATGATAATATATAATAATTACAAAGGGATTAAAAATGCTGGTTACTGGAAATACAATCTTAAAAAATTAATGGTTTTCTTCAAGGATTCCAACAACTTCAAGTTACAATGACTGTGAGTCACAGCATTACTTGTATGATATAAATTGCTACAAACACAGGAACAACTAGTTCTTCCCGACAGCTGTTCACTTACTCTGTGGTCACCTTCTTTGGATTTCCAAGCCATACATGCCAAATGTGTTTTACAGATGAACATTTCAGGAGGTTCAATGATACAAGATATAGATGAAGTATTATATTTAAGAGAATGTATGAACTATCATCTAGATATAAATGAATTCAGACAGGAAAAAGAATATGAAGAAATGCTGTGAAAAAGCTCAAATTATTTTAATCATCAAACCTCATAGTTCACAAAAAAAGACCAGATTCTGGTGAATTTCATTAGGAAAGAAACTACAGAAAGATTAACACAGCAGCATGCAACAGAGGAAAAGATTAGTCCCCTGTCAGACTTCACTTAAGAGTCTGACACAGAAATTTCACAGCCAACTCTGACTTTTCCTTTGTGCCTCTTATTTCCAAGCCCCACCATTAGTGTCCTTTTGTATTCTAGCATGTTACCTTCCTTTTCCATTATTAAAAAACTCAGGTCCACTTTCCCTGAGATGGGACTAATAAAGTGACTTTTTAAAGTTTTCTGTAAGATCTTTTCTGTACTTGGTTAATTATACATACATTTTCAATTTTTCCTAAAGTAAAACAAAAACAGAAAGAATTACTTCAACTTTTGTAATCTTTAAACTGACTTAAATGAGCAGAAAAAAACAAACATAAAAAAGGTTATCCAATCTCACCTACATTAGTGTGGTATTTATTTTTTTCTTTTCATTAATCTGAACTCACATTCTATCTTACCTAGACAGAAGCCCTCTTCAGTACCCACGCACACGCTGTCTCAGACCACCACTCAGGGGTTATTCCAAAGCCTATTCTAGATCCTATCACTCCTGTGCTGAAACCGCCAAGCCCGCTCCATGCTTCTTCCGGCTGATACAGCAAGTTCTTGATTTAGTTCTCATTCAATGTTCTCAATGCTCAAGTCTCAATTTACCTTTTCATTTCTAATTCAGTAATTAGACCCAAATCAGACTACTAGTCACCTGTAAAAACATGTTCCTTTTTTTTGTTTTTCTTAAATATTTAAACCTTTGTTCAAGCTATTCCACATGTGCTCCTGGAGATTTACCAGTTGAAATTTTACACTGTGTCAATGTCCACCACTTACTTCATGCAACTTTTCTCAATGTTCTTTTTGTTTGTTTGTTGTTTCGCCATTAGCATCTGTTGCTTTAAATCACTGATGCTTTTGCTACAAGTAAGTTTCATTAGACTGAAAGGTTTATTTCCTCAAGCATCCCTCCAAAGTGGCTTGTTCTTCGTTGTTCCACATATTTAATACAAAATTACTGACTCATTTAAGTATGAAGTTAACCAGATGAAAATCACTGAAAATTCTCTAGTATTCCATATATATATGTATGTATATTATTTAGGGATTATCTTCAATCTGTTGTTACATATACATAAAATAGGTACTTACCAATAATCTCCTTGCAAGGATTTTCAGGAGTGATGGGGACTCTGCAAGCTGGACACTGACTATTATTCTTCAACCACAAATCAATACAAACTGAACAAAACACATGGTTGTTGATACATATGACAGGCTGGCGCACCTTTGAAAAGAGGAACATTACTTTTAGTACAGGAAAAGTCACAAGTAGAATCCCCAAACACTTCACTTTAGAACAGATTCATCCGCTAGAGCACAATGGTATACATAACCACCATTATCTAGGAGTCGTAAAAATGTTTTTTCTGTTGACCATTCTGTTTCTTATATGCAGGTACTTTAACAAAATTCAAGAAAGAAAGGAGAAAAAAGATAAGTTTATTTTGGTGCAAAAATTTTTGAAATTATACTTTCTTCTTTAAGTTTCCTTATAAAATTTATGTATTTGAAAGGTAGAGAAGCAGAGGAGAGGCCGAGAGAGTGGCAAACAAGTATGAAGTCTAAGCAGGTCCTAGTTTTTCTTTCTTTCTTTCTTTTTTTTTTTTAAGATTTATTTACTTATTTGAAAGACACATTCACAGAGAGAAGGTGATCCAGAAATCTTCCATCTACAGAGAGAGATGGCTGTAACGTCTGGAGCTGTGTCAGGCCAAAGTAAGGACAATGCAATTCCATCCTGGTCTCTCACATGGATGGCAGGGCTTTCCAAGGGGCTGGGTAGGAACACAGTAGCCAGGACTCAAACTGGCACTCCAATAAAAAGTTGAAAGTGACAGTTTAAACCCTAGTGCTACAAGGATGAACCATGCCCTTTCCCACTCTGGAAATTGCGAGTTGTAATTTGACAAGTCCAGCAAAGCAGATTTTGAGAGTCAGGGGCATAATAGATAATGACACTTAAAGTCACAGGATTGGAGGTGAGCCCCTGCATGGGCAAAACAGCTGGAGAAAAGAAGGCATTCCATCCGGAGGAGGAAGAGCCAGCATAGGAAACTGAGAAGGGTTGGTGGGGAGGCTGTGATATTGGAAAGAATACAGGATCAGAGAATCCAATGGAACAAAGTTTTTCATGAGCGAAACAGTGGCTAAGTACATAAAATATTGATGACAGATTGAGTTTGATGTGGACTGAGATGAGACTATGGGATTTAACTGCATAGAAGTCACTGTGATCTGCGACTGACAAGTACTGTTTCAGCAAATAGTGTGAATGGAAATCTCTCACTAGAGGTTGAAAAACAGTGAAAGAAGCAAAGACAGAGAATATAGACAATTCTTTCATGTTTTTGTGCAAAAGAAATAATAAAAATGAGACCATGGTTAGCAATGCCAATGGGGGATTTCACTGATGGAAGAAGACAGGAAATGGTACTAGAGTCACAGATGGCAAAGTTCCTAAGAAGTCAACAGGGAAATACGATCTGAAGCACAAGGGGGAGATTCCAGCTCATAAAAGAGGGAGAACCTGTCTTTCTTTGTTAAAAGGAGTATAAGAATAAACGCAAAGGAGCTTCTACCTGCTAAGGAAGTAGAAGGGAATTCATATTCAAAATGTCCCAGCTGCTTATATTTAGTGATAAAAAAATGTGGCGATGTTCCAAAGGCAATTCAAAAGTTACAAGAAAACACAACTGAAAGGTAAGAGTATTTTGGTGCCAAAGAGTTGTGAAATCCACAAAAAGGGTTGTCAAAGAGTTCAAGAAAATATGTTATAGAAAAACTATGGGTCCAGTATGATGGCTCAGTGGCTAAATTCTCACCCTGCATGCATGCTTCTATCTCAGTATTATAAAGCTGGATCCTGCTTGCCTGATGTTTTCAACTTTGCCAATATTGTAAGTAAGATATTTGTGTGGATGAAAGAAGTTAGATATCCTTCCTATAAATAATTTATGTCTAGCATTTTTTCTTGCTTATTTTTCTTAATTTCTTCCACGCTGTGGACTAGTATGCCAGCAAGCAGAAATGCAGGAATGGGCTAGCCTAGGGATCTGTTAAATAGCATTTCCAATCCTGCTACCAGACTGCTATAAACCAGCTTATCTCTAGATAATTTCAGGGTTTGTTAGGATTCAGGATATGCAACCAGGTGGTAGCATGTAGTTGTTTTATTGGTTATGTGCACATGCAGTAGGCACAAAAGTGTTGGGCTCATTTTTTACAGCTCTCTGTTACTACAATTTAGATCTGCAAGAGTGATGAAATCCCTTCATGTACACACACGACCTAATCACTTTCCTTCAAACCCCACCTCTTACCGCTACTGTATTGGGGACTTAGTTTCAATATGACTTTTGGAGGTGACATTCAAATTATAACAGATGTTGACACAAATCTTTTTAATAGGCTAATGGAGTTGGTAGTATCAGATCCAATTTCAGTTTTTGACATTTGGATTCAAGAAAATCATGATGCTACTTATCATAAATGGTAGAGCTAGCATTTGCATTCACTGCAATGCAACTGAAAAATTATGAACTCTTATAACTAAGACACATTCTTGTTTTATTTCCTTGGGATACTTGATAAAAAAAATCAATGAGGAACAAATAGACACATGCCAGAAAGAAGTGAGGGTGAAGGGTACTTGCTATGGCTGGAGTGTCTTCTCAAATTTTAACGGTTTAGTCCTCAAAGTCTTCAGCTACTGGTATCAGGAGGATGGAAAATCACTTCTACAGTGTTTGAAGGATTAGAACAGAGAGATGGTTAAGGTAGAAGCTACATGATTATATCCTGTGGCTTTACAGGAGACTACACAGGCATGAGCAGACCCACTCTGATTGACAGTCTCTTGCCCAATGGTGTTCTTTGCTGCTCTGGTTCTCCACCCACAAGAACATCATCAGCAGGTGCTGAGCCTAAAGGGGAACCACTGAGTCTTGGACTGTGACTATCAACAACTGTGAGTTGAGGAAAGTGGTTTGTTCTTCATAAGACAGTGTTGTAGGAACACATTATATTAAACAGTTAATTACATCAACAAGAGTTAATATAGCATTAATGGAGTGATAGTGGCAAAGAGGTTACAGATTAACTGTACCAACTGCTTTGATAATTAAGATAAAATTCCCTGCCCTTTTGGTACCCTTGATTAAAATGAAAGGCAATCCTTCTTTAAAAAACATTATTTTTTTTTTGGACCTCATCAAACTTCATGAGTTTCCCTAGTAAAGACCTACAAAGACTGTAAAAATGAAATTAGCCTGCAGTACAGAAAAACTAGTAGGTGCTCCCGATGCTTTAACTTCGGGAATTTCGAAATTTTTCAAGACAAAGTTCTCAGGTTGGTCTTGCTATGCTTTGTGAAACACCTGGCTCTGGGTCAGAATTTGGTTCTCAAAACTTTAAATCTATATGTACTACATCAATTAATGCCAATTGATTTGAATCCCTACCCCCTGCCTTGGTAAAAAGAGAAATTACATCTCCCCTCTTTTCCCTTTATCCTTATCAAGACTGTTTCACAGTTAACTTAGAAACTTATTTGTGAAGTACACAAGTCTAGTGTGATATAGTAATCCTTATCATCAGAATTATACTTTGTTTAGTATGCACAGAATTTATTAATACTTTGTATAAATATACAGAAAACACAATATTTAATACTTTCCTGCAAGTTAGTTCATTCTTCACTTTTATTTTAACCTAGAAGAGAGAACAACGTAGAATTCTCATCCTTAAGTCCCCTTTTGGGACCAATGAGACAATCAAGACTCAAATGTGGGCTCAGTACACTGAGGTGGATGACTCGTAGATTAATCAAAAGATTGATAACCCCTACAAGATTAAATAAAGATCTTCATCATCTCAGACTAACCAAGTTAAATTGCTCCATAGCTAGTCCTATCTTTCAACATTTTAAAGCAACTATTTTGGCAAAAAGCAAAGTGGACAGTCCTTCCTGGAAGAAGTGACCCTTTCAACAGCATTCCCACTGTACACTTCGAGAGGCACTCTGACATCATAAGAAAACTGATTTTACTTCTGATTCCTTTGACAGAAGATTCTCTTTAATAATAGCTAAGCAGAAATCTTAATTCTGCAGATTTACACAAAGTTTGATTCCTTTCAAATTAAAAGTACTTCAGATATTTTAAGGTTTGCTATCACGTCCATCCATTCAAATATTACCTATTGTATTCCAAACATGTTCCAAAGTCATTTTCAGCTCCTTCAGAAATAATTTTTTAAAAGATTTCTTCTTTCAATTTTTATTAGAAAGGCATATTTACAGAGAGAAGGAGAAAAATAAAGACCTTCTATCAGCTGGCCCACCGTCCAGATGGTTCCAAGGACCAGAACTGAGCTGATCCAAAGCCAGGAGCAAGGAGCCTCCTCTGGGTCTCCCATGTGGGTGCAGATTCCCAAGCCTTTGGGTTCCTCTGTTGTATTCCCAGGCCATAAGCAGGGAGCTGGATGGGAAGTGAAGCAGCTGGGACATGAACCAACCCCAGAATGGGACGCTGGTGTTTGAAGGCAGAGGATTAGCCAGTTTTGCCATTGCAGTGACCACTCAAAATGATTTCAAAACATTCTGGCTCATTTATATTTATCTGAAGGTGTGGTACTCCAAGCGTGACTCAAACTCAAATGAAGAATAACTAAATCTGATACACTAACATTGAAGAGCATTAGCAATCTTGTGGTTTGGCACTTCTACTGAGAAATTCCATCATTCATAAATTGACTGTGGACCACATTTAGCTGTTGCTCACAGTGAAATGCAAACACAGCCAATAAAACAACTACATGCTACCACCTGGTTGCATATCCTGAATCCTAACAAACCCTGAAATTATCTAGAGATAAACTGGTTTATAGCAGTCTGGTAGCAGGATTGGAAATGCTATTCAACAGATCCCTGGGCTAGCCCATTCCTGCATTTCTGCTTGCTGGCATACTAGTCCACAGCGTGGAAGAAATTAAGAAAAATAAGCAAGAAAAAATGCTAGACATAAATTATTTATAGGAAGGATATCTAACTTCTTTCATCCACACAAATATCTTACTTACAATATTGGCAAAGTTGAAAACATCAGGCAAGCAGAATCCAGCTTTATAATACTGAGATAGAAGCAGTAAATGAAGAATAAAGTTTTCAGTTTTAACTCTATTTACATTAAAAAGCCAAAAGTAACAAGCAAGTATAAACTTAGGCTCTTTCTCCACTCCCCTGCCTTTGCTGCTACTTGCTTCTAACATTCTCCAACTTAAGCTCCTGCCTATCTGCTTCAAGGTAATGTCTGCTTAAAAAGGAAAAGAAAAAACAAAAGCTGACAGCAGAGTTCAAGGATAATGGCTCCTAACTCTGTGGAATGAGGGAAGGAGAGGACAATGATGGTGAGGGTTGGGGCAATTGAGGAGAATGTGGAAGAAGGCAGGCTGGAAGGACCTTAAGCTCAGTCTCAGATATGGCTAGATACTGTATGTCATATCGATGGAACTGATACTGGGTCTGTGCCATTCTAGTACCTGACAAGTGAGAAAATGAGAAGCTGAGTAACACATGCTGGACTGGCTTTGTTACTATTATCATTGTTATTATTTTATGATACAGTTCCATAGGCTCTGGGATTTCCCTATCCCTTCCTCTTCAGTACTGATTTCCCCTCTAGCATTAAAACGCATGGTCCTTCATGAATAGTCTAAGTCCATCACTCTGCTATTGAAGTGTTTCCTGACCTTACAGACATGGGTAATGTCAGAAAGTGCTGGACTGGCTTTTAAGAATAAAAAGGCATCGGTATTGCAGAACCAGCTAAAACACCTGGATGCACTGACACTTTCTGATACCAATAGACCCTATTTAACTGAGAATGCAAAGCTTCACTTACAAGTGCACTGGACTCACAAAGCAGCTAGGTACAAGTGACCAGACAAGACTGCTTTTCTCCCTCCTTCAGTTGAAGAGCCTGCTTTCATGTCCATGATAAAGGCTAACAGTTTTTGGATATTATTAGGTGCCAGATTATATTGCTAAGCACTGTATATGATTGATTTGACATCCCCCCTCCAATAATCAGGCTGGGGAGTTGAGAGCATCATCATTTACAGTTTACAGAGGCACAAAGAGGCTAAGTGACTTGTACAAGGTCGTACGACTGTAACTGGTAGAACCTAGGGTGGAACCAAGTAGTCTCAGTGTACATCACTCTTTCTTTTTAATAGTTTACAAATCAGCAATCTTGTAAATTTTAACTGATTTTTATTTTAGAGTAGACCCAACTGAATAAAACTAAGTACAAACCAGAAAATATACTAAAACTGACTACGCTCCTGGGTGAATTCAGCCGTTTCGGGATTTCGGCTACAAAGACACCAATGGTAATGACAGAAATTTGGTCACCACAGTCTTTAAGTTTTAGTTTCCTTATTTCAGTAATGCTAAAACTGGCACCATGCCACAGTGCTGGTGTGAAGAACAAACGTAAATGAAAGCACACAAAAGCAGCCTGTCATCTGCAAAGCACTGCACAGATTTAGCATCTTCCCTACAAGGCTGGGAGTAGCAGTGCTTCACAGTTTGGTTTTTCATTCCGCAGGATTTTGGAGTATTTGAATATACAGAATGAGACACCTTAGCGTTGCGATGCAGGTCCAAGCACAGATTCACTGATGTTTCTTACATGCATATCTTGAAGTAATTTTGTAACATTATTTTTAGGGCAATTATATTTCTACTGTGACCCATCCCATGAGGACAAATATGTAATGTTCTGCTTGTGGCTTGGGTCAGGCCTCAGGTTTGGACTTGGGGAGCACCCTGAATTTCAGATTTTGATGCTTTCTGTGAATTTTATCAGACACCTCTTTTGTGAGCTACAAAAAGCACAGGCTTGGTAAGCGAAACAAACAGAACAGATTTTCATCATAATTGCAAAAGACAGCCTACAAACTACGGGAAGGTATATATAATTTGTACGACTAAGAGACCAAAGGGAAAGTCATCTCAGAATATTTCTATCATCCTTTAAGGTTAGCGTTGCCAGAAATTCAGTTTATGACACCCTTCTGGGACCCTGAAGTCAGCAGCCCACTGCATCAGATGGTAGCAACTAGAAGCATCCCTTCCTCCTGCTCCCTGCTCTGCAGGCAGCCCTGGAGGCAAAGCCAGCTCCTCCACCACTGCTTGATCTCAGCTGCCAGAACCATCCAGCTGCCTAAACTCTCTTCCAGGCACTTGCATCTTATCTTCCTCAGTACTTTAGGGACAGTATCTAGTTAAGGGTTTCTTCCAATTCACTCACTCTCCTGCATCTAAGGCAGGTAGAGGAAGGGACAGAGAGCCTCAAATAGCTTGCTCTAGGCAGTCTACCTCACAGGTCTCCCCGTGCACTTAGGTGTAAAAACACAGCAAAAAACAAAACCAAAACCGAAGGAACAATTCTGGATGGGTGGGGGGAACCTGACTGTGCACAGCAACTGCCCCCTTCTCGATCCAGGAGGTCAAGAATCGTCCTTTGAAAAGAATGGAATGGGGGGGGGTACAAATCCTACTGAAAGGAAACAGTAGAACCTTCACAACTCTCAACTACTTTCTCCTAACTTGTTGCACGCGTTAGGGTTAGGAAGCTTTGCATCACAAAGGGAGGGTTTCCGTATCGCGAGGGATGCCTGGTGGAAATTTAAAGACCGCGCCCCTCATTTCTAAACGCCTTCCCAGGGCACGAACCATTTACTTTCCAAATCCTGAAATGCGGAGCACAGGTCATCCTCAAGGCCAGGATAAGGAGACGTTCTCCCATTAGCCCCACAGGCCCGAGAATAGCAGCGCTCCTGTCGCACAGGGGGCTGAGCAAGTTTAGGACAGGTGCCCGAGGAAAATGGGCTTTAATGGGCTTTAATGGGCTGCAGAGCGCACGAGGCTGCGCCGGGCGATGCGTTTCCGACTGGGCCTCCTCCAAGGCCGACGGGCGCCCCGCGGTCGAGCCGCCTCTCCGCCCGCCCTCTGGAGCCTCGGTCATGTCCCCCTCGTCCTAAAGGCCGCCCCGACGGGCCCGTTCCCCACGGTGCGCCCCCTCCGAGGCCCACGCCGCGGCCCCGCGTCGCCACTGCGCTCCCGGCGCCTCACGCCCCTTCCCCGCCCCGCTCGCAGACCGCCCTCGGCGCCCGCCAGCGGCTTCCGACCCAACCCGCTTCGTGGCTGTGCCTGGAGTCACGCATTACCTTCCCCAAGCAAATATGGCATGTGATGGGCAGAGTGAGCGATAATGTAACGTTCTGCACGCTCTGAGCCATGGCAGCGTTCAGAATCCCGCCAACACGGAAGTCCCGCCGACAGCGGCCCCTCGCCACGACTGGGGACGCGCCAGGCCGGCTACGGCGGCCGGGCAGGGCCACAGCCCGTCAGGGAGCGAAAACGGCAGCGCGCTTCGGAAACAACGCCTTGTTCGGGCTCTTCTTTGCGGAGACAAAACCGAAACCAAACGGAACAACTTTCCCTCTTTCGGCAACTCTAACATTCCTGAAAATGGAGCGGAAGATGGTTTACCTCAGGCCTCAAGGCTCTTGAAAATTTCAGCGAAATTAAGTAGTGCAAAGGAGGAAAGACACGGGAAGAAGACTTTTCAGGTCCCAGAATTTTTTCTCGGAAGATTAGATGCTGAGGTAATTTTCTCCCTCAAAGTTAAACCCCACATAGCAGCCACCCCGCACAGTCAGCAAAGATGTGAGAAAACTCTAATTGTGTATTTTAGTTTTTCAAAGCAACTTTCCATCTTTCTCAGTTCCCATTCTCTTCTTAAACCACACGGTGTGCTTGGAGAGGACACGAAAATTCACTTGAAAATTGTCTCCTTGTTTTAGGGTATCCAGGGACAATCTAGAAGTATCCAATAGCAGCTTTACCTGGGGACGCACACTTGATATTGGCTTTTACCTGGTCTCTACTTAAAGAAAGCTTAAGGATTGTATAGCCCATTTATTTACTTTACTTGAGAGCAAGAGAGAGGAGCGAAAAGTGGAGAGAGCAAGAGAGAGAGAGAGAAAGAGAAAGACGGAGACCACTTCCACCCATTGGTTTACTCCCCACATGCCTGCAAAGGGCAGGGAAGGCAGCCAGACCCCCAGGTGGGCTGCAGAGGTCTCCACCTGCTGCTTGCAAAGCCTGTCTCCATGAGCAGGAGACTGAACCCAGGAGCTCACATCTTCACCCCAGGGCCGGTGCTATGGTCCAGTGTGCTTTCCCTAGCAGGTCAAACATGTCAGTTTGCACAACGCTTTTTAATACCACCTTTCAGGTGCCTGGTTGGATAGGAAGTGTACCGTTGTGTTTTTGAATCCCAAAGGGAGAATTTGTGAGTCTATAAATTCGCATTTCTTAACCATAGAAAAGACAAAAACCTCTATGAATCTTACATAACAGATTTGAAATCTAGCTGAGGTAGAACTGATGAGATAACTTACTTCAACAAGCATAATCTGTGTATTGGGAAAATGTAGAAGCAAAATCCTTGTATTGACCTTTACTGATCTTTCTAAGAAAGGTGTGGTGTCTGGATCCATGGCCTCAGGCAGTTGGTGTAACTGCTCTGAGTGTTAGCTTCTTCAGAGTGTGTGTGTGTGAGACACAACCTCAGTGCACGCTTACTGTCAAGTCTATGAAAGGACAGGGACCAGTGTTGTGCTGCAGCCAGTCAAGCCACCACAGGTGGGGCGTGAGGCCTGGTTCCTCTGGTTCCCATCCAGCTTCCGGCCAGTGCAACACCTGGCAGGTCGGAAAAGATGGCTCATGTGGAGAATAGATTGAGTTCCTGGCTGATGGCTTCGGCCTGGCCCAGATCTGATTGGTGAGGCCACTGGGAAATGAACCAGTGGATAAAGATTCTCTCTCTCTCTCCCTCCCTCTCTCCACTCTCTCTTTCTGTTGATCTCCTTTTCAAATAAATAAAGAAAAGGGTAGGCAATAATGTGATCGAAACAGGTAGCAGTTCACTTGAAGAAACTCAAATCCAGTACAAGACTGCTTCACAAACGACAGTGAGAATGCTCCCATACAGTTCCATTACTTTTCCTAGGAACTGGAGAAACAAGCAAAATAGGTTGTTTCTCTAAATCCGGCCACTTCTTGCATAATGCCTGGCCTAAGAGTTGTCTGGTTTAAGTTTTGGAAGGCACAGCCATTTTTCCAGTGGGTCCCTGAATTCTTAGGTGCTGCTGCTGCCGCCTTCACATTCCTGACTGAACTGAGCCTTCACAGTGGCAACGCTCTCGGGGATCATCCTCTGCAGTTCTGGTTTTATTCCCCGATGCCGTTCCTTGCTCAGTCTGATACTTCACACAGTATTCTAGGGCTGCCTTTGCACTCTATTAAGGTGTAACTCTATTAAAGTGAGGTGTATTGTGGTGTATTCTGCCTCCGACATCCATCCCTGGAAGCAGTTTAATAGGGAGATACATTGCAGGAATTATTAAAATAATGTACTTGTTTGACAGGCAGAGATACACAGGGACAGGAAGAAAGAGCGAAATCATCCATCCCTTAGTCCACCCACTGCCCCCTACAAATAGCTGCAACAGCGAGCCCTAAACTGCTGTGAAGCTAGGAGTGAGGAAATGAAATGGGGTGCCACCATCGATGGCACGTACCACCGCTCAGGGTAATTGACAGCCGACATGGCACAGAAGCGGAGTTTCCACACCCTGCCCTGCCTACCTCCTCTTGCACCGTTCCAGTTAATTGAAGGTGCCAAAGTGCACCTGTGTCTCATGTCCTCCGCACCATTCACAACAACTGATTGCCAGAAATAACTCTGCAGGCTCTGAACACCTGGCCCCTCCTGTTGGGCTATATTACATTAGGTTAGCTATTGGAAAACTTTGGGTTCCGGTAACTCCCTGCCTGCCTGAAACTTAGTACTGCAAGGCTCTCAGTCTGATTGGAGGATGGGAGCCGGCACAGTGGCTCCCTGGAGTGTAGTGGGAGCTGCTGTCACCAAGCTTGGGAAATAGACTCCTCCTAGCATTCTACACTTGGGTCCAATGTGATCTCTCTTGTACTCTGCAGCAGAACCCCATCAGACCTCACAAGCAGTGGTTCAACTTCTGCTGCTTCCAAGAATACACTAGGAGGAAGCTGGATTGGAAGCAGAGCAGGCAGTTCTATATCCAAGAATGGGACACCAGTGCTGCAGGTGGCAGCTTAATGGTTTGTGCCACACTGCAGGCTCTGTAGCTTTTTAAAAACGATTTATTTATTGGAAAAGCATAGTTATAGAAAGAAGGAGAGACAGAGAGGAAAATCTTCATCCACTGATTCACTCTCCAAGTGGCTGTAATGGCCGGTGCTGCACTAACCTGAAGCCAGGAGCCAGGAGCCTCTTCTGGGTCACTCATGCAGGTGCAGGGTCCCAAAACGTTGGGCTGTTCTCAATTGCTTTCTCAGGCCACAAGCAGGGAGCTGAATGGGAAATGGAGCAGCTGGGATTAGAACCGATACCCATATGGGATCCCGGTGGGTGAAAGGCGAGGACTTTAGCTACTAGGCTACAACACCAGGCTGTAACTTCTTTTTAAAAAACTTTTCCAATGTTTACTAGGGCACATTCATTCCTCACAAACCATCCTGTTAAATTGGTTAGTACCCTAATCACCAACGTAAAATTTCAAGGTTGTAACTGACTTGTTAAGAGAGTATTAAAATCTACATTATTTTCCATATCTCTCCCACGTTCACAATTGTTATCATAGCATCTCACTGCTGTTTGAGAGCTGTCCATGTACAGCTTACAAAGGCTCTATTGAAATGCTTGAGAGCAGAGGTGTTCCAAATTTCAGTGTTTTGTTTGCATAGATTTTACCAGTTCAGAATCCCTAATCTGTAAATCAGAACTACAGCATGCTCCACAATCCAAAACACTTTCAGCCTCATTTCAGCACTAGAAAAGATTTGGATTTCAAGTGATTTTTGATTTTGAATTTCAGATTTTGAAATTGCAGGTGTTCAACATATAGCTATTTCTGAGTAGATCTGTTGCATCCTAACTGTTGGCATGTTTTTCCTCACCACAGACTGTGCTTTTTGAAGTCACGAATTGCATCTAATATATCCGCTTGGTAAGTGTCTATTCCATAACTAGCAATATTTTCTTTAATAACAGCTTACTCTATTATAAATCTAGGCTGTTTCATTTTAACGATGTCTTTACTTTTTTTTTTAATTTTAACTTAAACTGGAAGACTGTAGTTTTTCAGAATTATAAACATAATAAAGACTCCTTTTTAGAAAATGAAGCTATTGAAAACAGAATAATAAACAGAATCTCTGTACTTCTGCTTCTACTCTTCTGCGTGGCAGTCATTAACTTCTGCAGCGCAGCCTTACAAGCATCTGAATTCATGTGTGATTGTATGCTTAAACACAAGAAGGATCGTATTACAGCAGGCCTGCTTTGTCACTTTCTGCTGTGTGGATACACACAGGCTCCAACCTCCCTCCCCGTCCTCCTCTCAGATGATATTCTTAGCCCTACAGGTTGATTCAAACTCTCCCTAGTTCATACTAAGTTACTATATTTTGTTTTTACCAAACTGAATAGTCTAAAGTCAGGAACTACTGCTTCTGTCTCCTGTACCAAGGGTATTTCCTGCTTCTTGAATATCTTTGTTGGTGCAGATGGTTAAATGCTGTTGCCATTCTTCCACAAGGAAAGCAGAGTTTCCACAGACCCATTGGCTTTCTGTTTCATTTCTGTCTCAACTTCTTAGTTTTATGGGATCTGAGTTCTATTACATATGATACTCAACATAAGCTAACAAATGTGACCCAAATCTTGGGATTTATAAACATTTTGAACTAGAAGGGCTCTCAGCGGTTGTTATGCAGGCATTTCCCAGATGAGATAAACCAGCGATGAAAGTAGAATGGAAGCTAAATCCACCTCACACATGATGGTTGGCCCAATGCCTTCATGTAAGTGCAAGATGTATTATTATTAATAAAGTAGTTCAGTAATAAAAAGTCAGTCATAATTGAATTTCTTTGCTAAGAAAACCATCAAATAGCTATGGAACACCTTTTACCCCTTGTTTAAATCAGATTCATTTTTATGATAAATTATTTAAAAGCAAGTTTAAAAAAATATAAAATCTTAAGTGCTATTAAAAATTGATTAGGAATGCATTATTCTTTCATTGACCCAGTTTAGATTGTTTTTTAATTTTTTTGGTCAAAGCTAATAAATTTGAGTAGATGTTTCAGACAGACGTTTTGTAATCATTTGGTCATCAGTCAATTAATCACAACTTATAAATATTGATTTCAGATTACATTTATTTT